GGGGTGTGTATGGGGTTTGGATGGATAGATTCTCTGCTGTCTAAATTTTTCTTTTGATCCTGCTGCCCTGTCCTCACCCTCCTCTGATCTGCCCCCCTGTGTGCCCGGTGCCCATCTCTCCCCAGCCCACAGGCGCCCCCACCCCCCAGCATGCCACTAACGAGCCTCCTCTCTCTCTGCCGCAGGGTGACCCTGAGACGAGCCTCTTCCAGCAAAAGCAGGAAAGAGAAGGGGAGCAACCGGTTGTCCATGGGGAGCAGGTGGGGAGCTGCCAGCCTCCCCCGAATCCTGAGCTTCTCACAAGCCACAGCCAACAACATCTCCCTGAATCCCACAATCACACCCACCCCCTCCTGCCCTGCCTTCCTCAGTGGGTCCCGTTCACCCGCTTGGCTTTTCTATTGCCAGGGGGCACTCGGCCGTCCCCATCTCCCGAGGAACGCGCCCACCCCTCTGCCCTGACAAGCAAGGAACTCAGCCTGGTCTCCAAAGACCCGGGTGACTTGTCAAGGGCCCCGGAGCAGCTGAGACCCAGAGAGGGAGAGACAGGGAGGTGCGGCTGGGAGAATGTGTTCACTTTCAGTGATGGAGCTGGGGTGCACGGAGCTGCAAGGAGAGGAACAGAGAGAGCTCGATACGCTCAAGAGACGGAGAGATGAGAAACTGGCAGAGAGGGGAGATGAAGGAATCGGGGAGATAGAGGACTTGGGGGATGGTCTGGGTGCCCTGGATAGATCCAGACCCAGGCTGGGCTCAGTAGGGTGGAGTCTGGTCACATCTGGCAGCTCAGATGCTCCGGGGAGCCCGGCCCCCCTGCTGGCCCCCTGGGAGCGAGGGGAGCGAGGGTGCTAACCCGCCTGCCGGCTCTTTCCCCAGGGAGCTGGCGGAGGGCTCCAGCCGCTCGTCCGTGTCCCCGTTCATGCCCTTCTCCTGGTTCATGGACAGTGGGAAGGGCTCGGCCTCGTCCGGCAGCACCGTCTCCCCGACCCGCTCACCCAAGAGGGAGGGCTTAAGCCCCAAGAAATCTGCCTCCCAGGTCAGTACCCATCCCCGCCTCACCCTGTAGGGCCGGGGGCGGCGCTGCCCCGGGGGGCGGGGCCATAGTCCTGTCATGACCCTTTGCAGGGCAGGCCCCTCGTTCACACCTTGGGTTACCACCTGGCTGGTACTTCATCATTTTGGCCGGTTTTTTAATGGCTTTGCCAGTGGCCAGAGTAATCATTGAATCCGCTGGTTTTTTCACATGGGTGTAAAGATTTGCATTATTCTCACCAGACCCTGGGCTAGCCAAGGGTCAAAGTTTCTGGCACCAGCTAAAGATGCTGCCGGGTTCCCCCGGCTGCAGTGTGAGTGAGACAAGGACGTTCTCCATCTTTTCTCCCTAGAGAGTCAGTGGCTCTTGGGGGGTGGGGGGTGGAGTTGCCTTCGTGGGCGGGGTGCCGGGTTTTTGGCAGTGTTTTGCACCCTGCTCATGTCTTGGCCTTTCCCTGCGGGCAGGACTCCACCCTGAGCGACGACTCCACCCCACCCAGCAGCAGCCCCAAGACGCTGAGCAGCGGTGCCAGCGAGACGAAATGCTCCTACCCCTACCACACGCTGTCCCAGTCCTCCGACGAGGTGAGCCCGCCGGGGCGGCGGCGGGGGGCAGCCTGGGGGAGCCGGTTGGCCAAATCCGACGGCAAGGGGGCTTTCGCCGCTCCACTCCCGGGCCCCAGGGCTGGGGTGACGCCGTCCATGGGCCCCATGGAGTTGCAGATCCTTTGCCAGGCCTGGGGCGGGGGGTGTCTCGGGGCTGACGGGTGTTGAAAGAGAAACTCTCAGCGACATTAAAAGTGCAGTTACCTACGGGAACCGGCCCCCGAGGGGTGGGAAGAGCAGCTGGAGCCTGAGGGGGGGTGGGGGGGGCTCGGCTAGCAGCAGCTGCTCTCCCCTACCCCCAGGCTGACGGAGAGAACTTGGAGGGACTGGCGCCATCTGGGGTGTGTGTGTTTAACCTGTCTTCCCCTTACCCCAGCTGTGCCTCGATTTCCCCAGCCCAGCGCCTCGCTCCAGGGGACCCCCCTGCCCCACTGTGCCCCAATTTCCCCAGCCCCTCACTCTGGGGACCCCCCTGCCATGCCCGGCTGTGCCCTGATTAGGCATGGTCTGCGTCAGTTCCTCCCAGCCCAGCTCTGCAGGCCGCAGGTGAGTCCCGGGAGATGTGGGAGTGAGCGACGGGGGCAGGGGCGGACAGCGAGCGATGGGTGTGGGGGGGAAACAGGCGGGGCCTCAGAGGAAGGGGCGGGGCAGGGGGTGGGGCTTCACAGGGAAGGGGCGGGAGAGAGGTGTTCCGTTTTCAGGGATTAGAAAGTTGGCCCGGATTCACCTGTGGCCTGCAGAGCCGGGCTGGGAGGAACTTCTGAAGGATCCCTGCTGGGGCGCCCTGACTGGGGGGGGCGGTAACCCCCACTGGTGCTCACCCCCCCTCTTTCTGCCCCCTGCAGTTCCTGGACTGAGCCCCTCAGCGCGGCCACCAGCTGGAGCAGCCAGCAAGTGGGCCAGTGGCTGGAGAGCCTGAACCTGGAGCAGTACGTGGGCGAGTTCGCAGCCCGCGAGGTGGATGGGCAGCAGCTGCTGCAGCTGGATGGAGCCAAGCTGAAGGTAGGGGTGGAGGTGGGGGGCCTGCCCCGCGGCTCCTGGGTCCTGCGGCAGCTGCGAGCGGGGCTCCGGGGTCGGCCCTTGCGCCCTGCAGACATCCCTCCCCCAGGGGGGTTTGGGGCGGCATTGCCTTCCCCCAGCAAGAGGGACCAATCCCTTTGATGTACTGGGGCAGGAGGGAGGATGCTGGCCTGGGGGCCCTGATGGTCCAATGGCTACTGATCTAGATGGGCCATCCCACCGGGCTACTCGACGAGTTAATCCAATTCCCCCTTCGTTAGCGTCCCATTCAGGAGCCCCCAGCCCCCTCCCCTGGAGCCCCTCTCTCCCCAGCCGGGTGCTGCTCCAGGCAGGTGGGGGTGGGAAGGGCCGTGGTTGTAACCCTGAGGCAACCCCCCCGACGCACACCACGCCCCGTTGCCTCCTCCAGGCCCTCGGCGTCAGCAGCTCCACCGACCGGGCCCTGCTGAAACGGAAGCTGAAGGACCTGAGCGTGGCGGTGGAGAAGGAGCGGAAAGCCCAGGAGAAGGTGGAGAAGCAGAGGGAGAAGCAGAAGCAGAAGAAGAAAGAGCAGGAGCCGCAGCGGAGGAGTTAGGGAGGGCGAGTTGGCACACGGCTCCCGGCGCGGGGAGGGACAGAAGGAGACCGCCCCCGCTCAGGCGAGGGGGAATCGGGCGTACGGACCGGGAGACACACCGGACCCCACAGGGGATCAGCCCAGGTGCCAGTCTTTGGCTTGGGGCGGCACCGCCACGGAGCCCGGACCTTCCAGCCGCCTCCTGGATCCCTGCTGGCCCCAGTAGATGAGCAAACCCCTCCCCCACGCTGCCCATCCACTCCGCCACGCACGGGGCTCCTGGCACTGCTGGACCCGGCCCCACAGCTGGCTAGCGGTTGGCACCCGCCCGTGGGCTGCAGCTGGCGCGGCTTCCCCCTCCCGGCTTCCCTGCTGACCTCCGTCTGCTCCCGATCGGTTCCAGTCACCGAGGCGCCTTCCTGCTCCATGCTGATTGGCTGTCCTACCTCACCGGCCCCCCGTTTCCCTTAGCCCATGGGCACCACTGCTGCTCCCCACTCCCTCCTGAAAATGACGGCTCGGCCCCGATGGGCCCGCAGGACGAAGATAGTGCATGGCGTTACCCCTCCCCCACCCACAAGTGATCCCAGGTTGCGCTTGGGGTCCCCGGGCACCCTCCAGGGGCCAGGATCGACACAGCCCGGACTAGCAGGGCCCGGCCAATTTATTCCGAGAGCACAGACACCGACCCAGGGAGAAACCACGAAGGAAATAAAACCGATTGCAACCAGCCCCCCCGGGGTCCTCCCTGCGCCACGCACCCACCTCTGCGTTCCGCAGGCTGGGGGCCGGGAATGGGGCGAGGTGGTGACCTGCCCTGGGAAGCAAGTTAGGCCCTTCTCTAGGGCGGCCGAAGAGCGCGGGGAGGAAGGGGGTGAGGCTGGATTCTTGGGGCAGCAGCATCCACCACCTCTAGGGGGTGCTGCTCCCTGGCTGTGCTCGTGGGAACGCTGGGGTCCACTCGGCGCGCTAGGAGTGGCGGAGAACTAGCGGGAGCCAGGCTTATAAAGCCCGGGGGGTTGAGAAGGGATTTTTAGCCAGACGCGTTGAATTACTGTTATTTCCATCCTAGCCTCTATTAACTCCAATGCCTACCCCACCTTGCGGAGAAAGGACTTCTTTGTTAAGGTGCAGCACCTCCCAGCCCCTGCACCTAAGGTAGCAGAGCTCCTGGTAGAGGGCAGCTGTGGCGTGTCAACCCCTAACCTCTGGTGCTTGAGCTACCAGAAGCCGGCCCCAACGCTCTGCCTGGCGAAGGGTAAGACAAGAGGTGCCCAGAGACCGGGGCGTGTGAGCCAGCCGTGGGCAGCAGGCCAGGCGTTGGGCTCAGGCTCAAGTTTCCTGAAGCTCTCAGCGCCCAGGGAGATTTTAAGGCGGGGAATGAGGCAGCGTTGGGGCTGTCGATGGGATGTACCACCCAAGCAGAGGGGCAGCTGGGGGCAAGGTTGACAATTCAGCTGGTGGGTGCCGGAGAAGGAGAGATGCCCGAGGGGGAGCAGGCAGGCCCTTGACACCGAGAACAAGCAGCGTTTGTGATGGCGAATGGGTAGCCGGGGGCCCCAACTCTCTCCAAGCATTGCAGGGGCAGAGGGGCTGCTTGCGGGGGGGGGGCTG